GAGATAAGAAAAATCATTTATATAAATCAACAACATATGCATAAAATTATCATATATATAAAGAGTTAAATCCATGTTTTGTTACCTCTGTACCAAACAAATACAGACCTGCATGACAACACTGGTGCTGCTACATTCACCAGTATAAATGCAGTGAAACCTTAATTGAATGGACTAATGGTGAAAGATGTCTAATGCCAGTTGTTCCTTAAATATGGATGATGCTATTATTTGTCCATGATCATAATAATAAAAGACAGTTCTGGATTTTTGAGCTCTTGCCCTTAAAGTCCTAAACCAATTTATCCAGCCAACTGTGACATTAATGGACAAATCTGGATTTAATGGACTGTGTCTACTGTTTCCAGACATTGTCTGGAAACTGACTTTATCTGTTAAATCAACGACTGTTGAGATTTCACTGCTACTACTAACAAAAATAATAAGAATAAGAATAATAAGAAAAAATGCACCTCAGTTTAAGTTGTCCATTCCAATTATTATTTTAAAATCACCTGTTCTAAGCTAGAACCTAGTGTGTTAGATGTAGCTTTCAGTTCTTCTCACTGCACTCCCACATCAACTGTATGTTGCTACTGAAGCCATCAGTATGGTTTATGTACTATATTTAGCAGGCTTCAATGAAATTCACTGTCATGAAAAGCAAAAAATGTGCTAGTAATGACAACTTTCAGTTTTATATCATATGCTACTACCTCTCTCTCTCTAACTCCATAGTTTAATTCTAATAAAATGCCACATAGTCTTACTACCATATACAGTGGACCCCCGGTTTGCGATATTATTTCATTCCAGAAGTATGTTCAGTTGCCATTACTGAACGAATTTGTTCCCATAAGGAATATTGTGAATTAGATTAGTCCATTTCAGACCCCCAAACATACACATACAAACGCACTTACATAAATACACTTACATAATTGGTCGCATTGGGAGCTGATCGTAAACCGGGGGTCCACTGTATTATCCCTTTTTACAGGTACAGTATTGCTGACATTTTATTAGTATTCCTTAGACATCTTTAATACAAATAATTTTAAATGGTATCAAAACAGTGAAATAATCCTATAAAATCCTCCGTGTGATGACTACATAGTATAATAAACACTTAGGGAATGTCAACTGGAAGCACTTCCTTGCTGTGTGAAATATGTACATACTGTAAAGATATTTTTAAGGTAAAAAATGGATTTATAAGTTATTTTTTCTTTATTGTTTATCAGAATGCGATTACATAGGCTTAGGTTATATGGATTTTTTGTGATTGAAAAATCATTTTATCTACTGTATAGTGGGCAGAAGGAAATATAACTGCTCTCAGGCAGACAAATGATAAATTTTTGCATCAGAACTGATAAGTGGGTGGTTTACAAAAATTTTACACAAGTCTGTATCTGAAGAGAGCGACCACTGCAATGATCTAAAATTTTCACACACACATTTACGCAAATTGGTTTTTCTTAGGAGATATAGATATAGTTATTCTGCATTTCCTGTAAAATGTTTTACATGTATACAAGTTAGCTAAAATAAAAAGAGCAATAATTAATACTGTACTGTTCTTCCGTGATAATATTCATATATAATTAGTTCATTGTTTTCATTTAATGAGGGCTGTATGTCACTAAAAACAAAATTCAGTATTATTATTGAGATCATATATTGTTTTATACAGGACCTGGATTTTGTTTTTCAATGGATGTTTCAAGAAAATTACGTTTGTCATTTTTATCTAGAGATTCCCTGTAAATTGCATCTTGCAAAAGTAAAGCACAAAGTAGATATAAACCAGTTTTAGTATTTTAATTTTCCAGATCTCATTACCAGTAATGCACTTCTTACACAGGACTTTGAAAGCTACCTTTGTACATAGATTCTGAAAATGCTTTAATTTTTTAGGATACTGTATAGTTGATTAAAATGCACATAAAATGAATCTTATGCTTGAAGGTGTTTATACAGCAATACTATCAGCAATACACAATATAGAGGGAAGGTCATCACTAGTTTTAGAAGACTATTGTATTCTGTACATGCAAGTTGTATATGTGCAGAAGAAGAGTTGTATATTTTCACACTAGTGAAGAAAACAATATACAGTGGAACCTCAAATTTCGAACGTATCACTTATCAAACTTTTCGAAAACCGAACGCTTTTTTCAAACCAACTTTGTCCACATTATCGGACTCGCCCCTATTTTCAAACCGCCAGGTACCGGACCTGTCCAGCAGCCCACACTGTCTGCATCCCCATGCAGTCACTGTGAGCCAGTCTGGTTTTGTTGATGCATGAGTGAACACTAACCTGTGCTCTCATTCAAACATTTTACGATTATTTCATGGTATTTAGTGCATGTGGGACTGTGAAATAAGCTATCATGGGCCCAAAGAAACTTGCTAGTGGTACCCCTGTGGTAAAGAAAGTGAGAAACACCATAGATGTGAAGAAGGAAATAATACAGAAGTATGAGAGTGGTGTGAGACTTGTTGAGCTTGCCAGGATGTACAGAGGGCTGTGAACAGTTATTTTGTGAGACAGAAACAGACAACTGTGGACAGTTATTTAGTGAGACGGGTAAAGTGACTCTCAAGCTGGTAGTAGTGGCATTAAAATACAGAGAAGGGAAGTAACCCCAGAGAGGGCTATGATACCTGAAGTCCTCATGGAGGGGGATTCTCCTTCCAAACACTAACCCCAACTCCCTCTCTCCTCCTCCCTATTATCCAGATACCATCACCAATCTTCAATAAAGGTAAGTAAAAATGTTATTTTATATGGTTATTTAAATTTATTAATACATAATTGAACACTATATTTGTTGTGTGTATGTAAAACTATAATTAATCTCTATAAAAAAAATTTTTTTTGTGAATATTTTTGGGTTTCTGGAACGGATTCATTGTATTTCCATTATTTTTATGGGAAATATTGCTTCGCTTTTCAAACTTTTCGAATTTAGAACTAGCTCCTGGAATGGATTTAGTTTGATATTTGAGTTTCCACTGTATGTATTTATAGTAGTATCATCATTTATTGAATATTGTACTGAATTTTATATGTACAGATGTCTTTTGACATTGAAGTTACGTAGATTTATTTTTAATGTCAACTGTTTCCCAGTATAGCAGAGTGGAATATGTTCACTTGCATCCATTCAACAGCTGTCTTGACAGAAATGTACAGACACCACATTTCTGATAACACACTGAACTGCAACATCTCCACCCATTCTTCAGAGTGCAGGCACCATAAGTGACACCTCTAAAACTTAAGTCCAGTTAGCCAGTTTTTCTGAATTCCTTCACAAATGCAGCCTTGCTCACTCCATCAGCATGTCAGATTTCAAAAACCACTTGTGTCTACTATTATACACATTAGACCTTCATAATCCACACAGTGGTAAGTTGCATCTTAAATTCTTTTTTTAAATTCCACAAGTTGCAGGTGAGACACTTCTTTGATGTGGGATTGGATACTTGATGTGTGGTTGGATATTTACCTTACAAGTCTGTGCAAAAGAAGCATATTTTGAAAGAAGTTGTCCAGCTTGGGTTCATAGGGTGCCAGAAAGTTTTTCACAGTGGTAGAACAATTGAATAGGATAAAAGAAGAAGTTAGTATTATTCTTACAATCATGGAGAAGTGCTAAACCTGTAGGGGTCATAGAATGCCTGGGGTAATGAGTAGCAATCAGATTCAGGAGGCCTTCACCAGCATCAAGACACCTCCCATGAAGAAATAGAAACTAATAAATGTTATAAAAAATGGATATCTTAAAAAAACATAGATTAAGCTGAAGATGGGGACACCTCAAACATAACTACCTTCTCTCTATATGCATTGTTTACTTTAATCTCTGATAGTGTACAAGTAACATGCAGACTTAATGACCCTTTTGTAGCTAATATGCCTTAAACTTAATAAAACAACCAATCTGCTCCTATTGCTGTAACCACTAAATATGGGACAACACAAGTTTGGCTCTATTCCTGTAGTAGTAGTGAGGGTCTCGTGTCTATTTTACAATCAGTCCACGAGGACTTAACTTTTTCCATGAACATAAAGCAGTTTTCTATAGCAATAGACACTTGATGCAGGAGACCACAAGCAAAGGTTTGCTCTTGTAGGTACAAATACTAAATAATGATAATCTTTATTTCTATAAAGTTACACAATATAATTAATACAGGAATAGTTCACATTTTTGGCATGCTTTATAGAAAGCCCCTATTTATACAGAGGAATTTGGGCAGCCTTAAAATGAACGAATCTTTACAGATTTTTTAGATTAAATTCGTTTACCTGAATGATAAAATTTACGTCTCTAATATTAACTCTGATCTGGATTATTTTTGTGGGAGACGACCGACTTGTTGAAAAAAAAAAAAAAAAAAAAAATTTGTAATGTGTACAATGCATTTCAGGCAACTAATCATAAGACTTACTTGCTACTTAAGAACTAGGGAACACCACAAGCATAGCTTTACTGAAGGTACGAACAAGGAATCACACACTATTGCTAACTAATATATGCTGTACATATTTATCACAATATCTCTGGTGTTGAAGTTGACTATAAAACTGTGTTACCTCAGTGTTTGCACAAAATCCTGTTTGTGTCAAGTTAGATGCAACAGTTTAAGGTTTGTTTTTTTATGTAAATTACTTTGGCTGCACATATACAACATATCAAGGATTTGCTTCTAACAACTTTATTTGTCTTCTCTTTAAGTGAATGTATTTATAATTCGTAGGTATGTAGCAAGTAATTTTTTATGCATAGTAGTGTAAGTTCTACAAAAATATCTTGGTACTGAAAGTGTGCAGTATATTCTCACTACTAATTTGGAAACCTTCTCTCATTATATTTTTAGTTAATTTATTATACAGGGCTTTATTTCCCATTGTTCTACATTTTTTTCTGTTTCATTTTGTATTGCTCATACTTGTAAGGTAATGTTCATTTTTTCCATTACAGAGATTCCGGATTTAGATGAACACTGGATTGCCTTTACGTCTGTCACTTATTGAGCAGCCTTTCTGTTTTAATTTTTGGTTTTATTATTGATAGAGTTAATAAATGTTTTCTGCACAAGTTTTTTAAATTAACGTGTATTGTAGATGCTTTCTCTTACTTGTATTGTTGTTATAATCAAACCAGAATTCTTGAATGTTATGGTTAATGAAAATACCTGTCTGTACATTATAGATGTGAGCATTTCAGTTTAGGAATACCTGCAGTATTTCTTGGTGGGGATGGGAGGGGTGAATTATGGCATGTAAATAAAGTATGTGTGTGAATTTAAAGTTGGATTTGTTATTACTTTTATGTACTTAAAAATCACAATGCATTTTTGAATGAGTATAATTATTGCCTTTTATTAAGATGTACTGTATATAGTTATTGGTAATTTCTTATGGAATGCTTCTTATACTGTACATGTATATAAATTTCTGCAAGAAAACTAATGCAGTGTAATAAATATTGGTGCATGTTTTGGCTTTTGCTGGGGGTGAATTATGGTATACAAACACAAGATAAAATCAAAATTGTCACATCTTTTCACCCACCTGTAGTTTTGATATAATGATTAAGATAAAATACCTTATATTACTTCATTTTTAACATTTGAAATTCTTATTTTGAATAATGTTATGGCAACTTAAGCCCAGTGTACAGCTTTATAGTTTTGTAAGATGATAGTCTATTTTGTTTATTTCATAACCTATTGGCAGTATTTATTTTGGGTAGAAAACTGTCTGTCACTACTGTCGCATTTTTGAGGTAAATCCCATAATTTAAATGAGTAAATTGAAATTTTTGGCATAGGAAACTAACCCTGCACTAAATTTGCTAGTGGTAACTTTCAGTGTTTCTCACAAGGGATCTAGAAATTATTTATGTAGATTAATTGACTTAAAACTGAAGCTATCTAAAATGTGGCGTGTTGTAAATATTTCATATACTACAGTATTTACAAACATTATCTCTATGTCCACAGCAGGACTCGAACCTGCAAACTCTGTAGAGATAATGTTTGTAAATAATTTTGCCTGTTTGCGAATTGTCAAGCATACTACAGTATACGTAATTTGAATATTTCATACATAATTTGTCCTAGAAATTAGTAAGCAGAGCATGAAAATTTAATTGTGATTATAGTTATTGCTTAGATTCTTCAATTTAATGATGTTATCTGGTGGTGGACTTGAAAGTTAACTTGGGTGATGGTTTACTGCTCACCAGACCTTCAGTGTTAAGTATCACTGAAAGTCGTGTGGCTCTGTACAAAATACTATTCTATAACTTTTGTAAATATGTCATACCTCAACCCAAATATTCTGTATGTTGTGATATTCTTTAGGTAAAAATATAAATGACAAGAAACTAATACAAAGTTTTCTTTACTTAAACATTTGTGGTATCATTAGGGAAAGGGTATAGTATATAATCTTTTATTTTATTCAAAAAATGTGATGTTTCACATAACCTGAATGAAGAAAAATACTGTATTCAGTGAGAAAAAACTATTTCCAAAAATCTTAAAAATGCATTTACATTTTCAGAGAGGTACAAGGTGACCAAAGGTGTTCAATACAGTATACAAAAATAATAGCTTAAGTAAAAGGTATGATACAATGCCATACAGTATCTCATCATTTTCAGCTTAAACTATAAAATTATGAGTCTCTTATGTTGACATTTAAACAAATTTTAAACTTAGAAATAGAAATAATCTCTCAAGAGTACATACCATTAGATCAACATTTTCAAATTTATCATAAGTTTTATTATGTATAAGAGAGCAATTAACACAAAACATTTAAAATATTATAATTAGAAGTAAGTAAGTAAACTTGGTCAAAATCAAGGCAATAAGACAATCCCTCAAAAACTGTAATCCTGGACTTGTTGATACTGGTCCTGGTTAGATTAAAATAGTATTCAATTCTCAGTGTTACTTTATGTACAGTGGTCCCTCGTTTTTCGTAATTAATCTGTTCCTTGAGCCGTTACTATAAACAAAATTTACGATTTACGAATCAATTTTCCCCATAAGAAATAATGTAAATACAATTAATCCGTTCCTGACACCCAGAAGTATTAAAACAAAAAAATTTTTAACATGAAATATACATGTAGTACATAAACAATACAATGGGAAATGATGAATGAAACATTAACAGCATAACACTTACCTTTATTGGAGATTCTTCTTAGTGTATGGGAGACTGGAGGAGGAGAGAGAGTGGATTGTTTATAGTTTGGAAGGGGAATCCCCTTCCATCAACACCTCAGGTACCATTTGCTTTTCTGGGGTTGCTTCTCTTCTCTGTTTCTTAATGCCACTAGGACCACCTTGAGAGTCACTGGAGTCCTGTCTCAAAATAACTGTGGAGAGAGCTCTGTTTCTGGCATCTCTTTAAACACTTCCCTAAAATGGCCCAAGACTTTGTCACTGTACATGTTGCCAACCTGGCTTGCAACAACATTGTTAGGGTGATGTTTCTCCATAAAGCTTTCCATCTTACCCCACATAGTAAAAATCTCTTTAATTTCTGAAGAAGGCACCTTCTTCCATCTCTCTTCCTCCTCCTCTGCAGTAAGATTCTGAGCTGCGATGTGTTGCTCTTCCTGCTGAAGCTCTTGCAGCTCCTCAGTGGTGAGCTCTTCATTGTGGTCTTCCACCAATTCTTCCACATCCTCCAAACTCACATCCAACCCCATGGAACTCCCCAGTGCCACAATTGATTTTACAACAGACATAGGCTCATTAGGGTCAGTCCCAAATCCTTCAAAATCCCTCTTGTCGACACAATCTGGCCACAATTTTCTCCAGGCAGAGTTCAAAGTCCTGGTAGTCACTCCCTCCCAAGCCATACCTATAAGGGTTATGCAGTGGAGGATGCTGAAGTGTTCTCTCCAAAATTCCCTTAGGGTCAAGTGAGTGTCTGTGGTCACAGTCAAGCACCTGTGAAACATTGTTTTTGTGTAGAGTTTTTTAAAGTTTGCAATAACCTGCTGGTCCAGGGTTGGAGGAGAGGAGTGGTATTCGGGGCAAGAACTTTACTGTGTGAACCCAAACTCCTCGAAAATTAGGTCATCCAAGTTTGGAGGATGAGCAGGTGCATTGTCCATTACTAAGCAGGCACTTGAGATCCAATTTCTTTTCCAGGAGATACTCCTTCACACTAGGGCCAAACACTTCATTGAACCACTCGACGAAAATTTCCCTCGTGACCCATGCCTTACTATTGATTTCCAAAACACACACAATTTACTCTTCATAACATTGTTTTTCCTGAACACCTGGGATTTTCAGATGGTACACTAGTAATGGCTTCACTTTGAAATCCCACTAGCATTAGCACAAACATTAGCGTCAGCCTGTCTTTCATAGGCTTGTGTCCTGGCATTGCCTTTTCCTCTTGTGTAATGAAGGTCCTCTTTGGCATTTTCTTCCAAAAGAGGCCTGTTTCGTCACAATTGAACACTTGTTCAGGTTTCATCCTTCAGCCTCTATGTACTCCTGGAACTCATGCACATATTTTCAGCTGCCTTGTGGTCCACTGGCAGCCTTTACCATGCCTTACCAACACTGTGTATGCCAGTACGGTTCTTAAATCTCTCAAACCAGCCTTTTCTGGCCTTAAATTCACTCACTTCACCACTATTTGCAGGCAATTTTCTTTACCAAATCTTCATGCAACTGCCTAGCCGTTCACAAATAATCAAAGTCATAAGAGTATCTCCTGCTAATTGTTTCCTCATTTATCCACACCCAATAATAACTTCTCAAACCCCTTCCAGTACTGGTGATCTCATTTTTGTCAGCATAGTTACTCCCTTTGCAACAACAGCATCCTTTATTTCCTTTTTCTTGGCCACTATGGAACATAAGGTTGTGTAGGGTTTCTTATACATCCTGGACAGTTCGGCCACACTTGTACCACTTTCATATTGTTCAATGATGGTTTTCTTAAATTAAGTCGTATTTCTCACCTTCTTTACCACAGGCTTGGCACTAGGAGCTTTCTTTGGAGCCATGGTAGCTTATTTAGTACGTACTTGCAAGCACTAAAATAAATGGAATATTATGAAATATTTCGCTGGAGCACGTGAGGGGACCTTCGCTCACTGGTAAACAATGCCAGACTGGCTGCCGCCCCAGCTCACACCGTGGGTACGTGTCCTGGATGAACTACGACTCGCGAGTCAGCCTATGAAAAGCGAGTCCATGTTTATACGAAAATACCCCTATGATTGGCGAATTTTACGATTGCTGGGAACTACGAAAAGCGGGGGACCACTGTGTTTATGTTTTGTTACTTTTGGAGGTGAGGCTCTTGCTTGATTGCTTAGTACAGGAGGGCCCCACTTATTCAGCAGGTTAGGTTCCAGTCTACTGCTATAAAGCAAAAATTGCTCTAAAGTGAAATATAGCTCACGAAATCATAATGCCAACGAATCTTGTTGTAGCCAGTTGGCCCAGTGGCTAGCGCATTGGTCTGGAGTTTTATGACTCTGATTGCGGGTTCTATCCCTGCCCATGGTATGGTTTGGGAAACATAACTTTTTTCACTTTCAAATGCATATAAAAGTCAATTAACATGTTTGCACTATCATATATGAAATGAGCAATAGAGTTAGACCTAAAAAATGTTTATGCAGTACACACATTACTTACCCTAAAATATTTTCATCCTTAGCTTGTAAAGTAAAAGGACACAAGTGCAACTAATGTGACATTTATTGTGGCAACGTTTCGCTCTCCAGGAGCTTTATCAAGCCATTACAAACAATACATGGACACAGAGGGTATATAAAGGCTCTGAGTGAGGTGCAATACTAGTGAGGTAACATTTCGATGTTCACTAGTGGAGGTATAGTTAGTAGTAGAATAGTAAAAAAAATAACTACTACTACTACCTCCACTAGTGAACATCGAAATGTTACCTCACTAGTATTGCACCTCACTCAGAGCCTTTATATACCCTCTGTGTCCATGTATTGTTTGTAATGGCTTG